GAACGCGACATTACTTATTTAAACTAACCAAGATTTACATGGCGGGTATTGTCGATTTTGAAGAAGACGCTTACCTTTCCGGAGCACCTGGTCTTTTTCTCCCGTGTTGTGCTTTTTCAGTGGTTTCAGTCTAACTCTTTTGCCTTCATTTAATCGATGTTGTCTTTGAATAAAGATTCTGTTGAAATTTCCTTTGTTTGAGTTTTATGTAATGCATTTGATTAAAATCACACGTTGTCACTGTGCAGCTGGCAAGTAATGGCAAGACAATGTTATCCTTTTACCTATATAAGTTGTGTCCTATTGTCTGAATCTACCGGAAATATTAGTGGGAATTACTGCTCTGTTGGCAAAGTTCATTAGTAATTGTAGCATTTGTGTCTTAATATTATATCATTATGGGTGATATTTGATTTTTCAATACTAGTGACTTTTTTAATTATTAGAGAAATGCACATGAAATAATAATTTTGATATAATTACAATATGTGCGTATTGCGATAAACAGGATGTTTTATTACATTTTTAGCAGTGAAACATAGGGATATCTCAAACTGATAAAAGTGATATTTTTCACTTGTGCAAAGTATCAGTTTTTTTTTTATTTTTTTTATTTTTCACTATTGAAAAATATCACTTTAAGGATTGACCAATCAGAGACCCCGATTTTTCCATTTTGATGGCAGTCAGCAGACGATGCAAGCCAGTAACTCTAACTATGTTATCAGTGGTCAAACCCATCCCCGTTCGGAGAGTCTTGAGTGTGGACCAAGGCATTCAAAAAGAATCCTTATCATTGATAGTGGCAGCGACTAGGATGGCGCCATACTTTTTCATACGCGGAAGAATTGATCAAACATTTTTTTTATTTTTTCAGTTAACCATTTTATTGTGTATAAGTGACATCAATAAATTACAAAATCCATGTCCAAACACAAATAAACATTCATTATTATTTATTTATGAGTCTGTATATTTTTACTGATTTTTCATTTTTTTTGCCGCTCACAACATCGTTGTATAATGAGTGAGTAGTGTCTGGAAAAAGCATGGTCAACTTACCCATTTTATAATTATGGTAAGTTTGTCATTGTTTTGGTTAATTTTTGCGATGAAAATGTAATAAACAGAATATTTAATAGCACAAGTGAAAGATACCAAAAATATTAGCCACACGAGTGAAATATATTTGTTATTACTGAAGACACTACTGGATAGCCTATATGTATTAGTGTTGCAGTTTTGTTGCAGGTATGGGATATAAAATATTAGAAGATACTTTGAAGCGCATACTGCTGTGTATATTGATGTAATAAAACAACTAGTGATATTTGTACAATTTTATATTTTTTCATATTGTTGTATTTTCCCACTGTGTACTAAGAAGGAAGAAGGAAAATGGTTTAAGTACGAAAAACTCAGTTTTACTTAGATTTTCTTTAGTCAAAAGGAACATGTTATGTTAGTAATTCTTTTCGAAATATGTTGAAATTTCACCAGAAAAGGTATACGCATTTTATTGTTCGAAATCATGGAATTTCAGCGCTTCAATCAAATTTGAAAAAAAAAATGAAACAAAAAAACAAAGAAAAAATTGTCAAATTGTCAGCGATGGAAGGTTCAAACTCAAACGTAATTATCATACTAATGAAACTAAATAAAAAAAATAGTGACTAATAGTCGTACTGCGCATAATTGATTTACAGTAAAATATTGAAATGCGTGACACTTAAACAATATATAGATCTTTATCATGTTCACGTGTTTACTTAGGTACGAACAGTCATTATGGAGTTACGGAGACGGAAAACCTGTCAACAAAAAAAGAGAGTTATTATTGTCAGTGATCAGATAGATACCTAAAACATAAAGATATGCTGATTACAGATTCAATACATCTATCAGGTGTTAAGGTAAGATCAATACCTAACAATATAGTGTTAGTAACATTGGTTTTAAAATCACCATTAACAACGAGACATTAGGTCTGATTCGTGTTTATGCAATTTGAGGACAACGGATCTTAATAAAGAGTACGTTGAAAGGACGGTAAGTGGCAATATCCTTGTAAATTATGTATAAAGAAATTCTCGCAACTGACGATCTGTGATGTGTGATGATTACTCATTGAAAAACACGTGATCAAAGAGTTCTCGGAAAAATTATCCTAACAAATATGAAATTATTGACTGATTTCATAAAACAATTTGACATGACAAACCATGGTGAATGGTTAAGTTAAATGCACGCTTTCACCTCAGGACTTCCGGAACGCTTTTTTCCTGTCCTTATCAACGTTGGCCATAGATTATCACGACTTTACATGTCATTGAAACAAACTCAGAGAACTTGCAGCAATATTTCTTTTTCAAAACCCAAAGTTCTTACCCCACAAAGTATAAATTACTGCAGACATTTATCGTATAAATGTTAACTTAACAGTGTGCTCCAACGTATTGTGATGTGGTCGCATTGAAACACACAACACGTTATGTGTGTACTGTCTAGCTCTGAAATCCAACCCCAGCCTTCACAAGTAAAGGTCATTGTCGATAGGTCAATTAACCAAGGATCAAATTTCACCACACACGTGTGTGTAATGTGTTAACGTTAGATCTGTCATTTTTTGGGTGCTGTAAGGGACTGTAACACACAGTAACCTATTCGAGGCATATTTAGAGAAATAAATGAAGAAATTGACATGGAATTTCTTTGTCGTGCTTTTTAAATATAAACAATTGAACACTATTGTATACAAAATACTTTACGAATTTTCACCAACATTTGACAAATGACTGAAAACATGATAATGAAACGTAAGTCACAACAAAATAAAAGTCATTTTCACATGTAATAACATGAGCATTAACTTACTATAAGGAGAAATTGCTTTTGTCATGATTGAGCCAAAATGTCCCTGCGCAAGGGTCAGTTAGAATATCTAATATATAACTATTTAACGGATCCCCATAATACATATGGGATAGGAAAACAAGCTTATATTGATTCCGTTTACCGAATTGTTCGTATGTTTTTATATTATTGTTGTTTTTTGTTTGTGAGTTATTTTAGTCATACTAACGTTGAAGATAAAGTACGTACGATGATTTTGTAGACCGGTGCAATGTTTGAAGTCCCACAAAAACCTTTATTTATGTCAACACTGCATTCACATATTAAATGATAGACCGAAAAGTCCACTTCCTGCTGACGTCCAAAATTGTTCAGGTCACTGACGTCAACGACGGCGCCCCAAACATCGCATTAAGCTTAGGCCTATTTTCGCTGATACGTAGGGGTTACCTCCCTTGATACTGTTTACGTTATACATTTCCAATGAGCGTTATATTGTAATGATTGAGAAATAAACCGAAACGAAATGTTCTCATTTACATCATTTATATGAACACTTTGAAGTTTTCATCAGAGAAGAAAACAATATTTTACGAATGACATATATTTTTTGGGCAAATGTCCCATTGGGTCCGTGTTCAAACTCAATAAACCATTAATTTTCTCATAAAACGCCAGTTACATATAGCGCGGGCGAGGGTCCCTAATTCCTGGTTCTTGCCTCCTTAATCTTCTCTTGTGTTCTTCATACGGGAGTTTTCTCGCGGTTGAATTACACAGTAATGCGGACATTGGAACAAAGCATACATTGTGTACATTTTGTACAACTTCCTCTTGATCCGTTGCAGCAGGGACGTATAATATCGGTTATATACGTCCCTGGTTGTAGATATTGATAACAAAGGCAAAAGGTTACTACTTAGATTGGTAGACTGTTCCCTTCTCTGGAGCATGTGACGGACCTCATAATATTAATCAGCTGCTATAAGGACACTACGTTTAGAAATAACACTAGCGATGTTCACGTGGCGACTTTCCCTGTTGACAAAACAAATATAGCGTTGTTAAAGCAGTTTTGTAATCAAAATAAACGACTATTTAACAAATATATAGATGTTAGAACCATACCCACAAAATTCAAAGTATTAACAGCAAGAAACGAACAGCTCGTAGTGAAAAAATTACGGCAGCATATTTGATAATTGTTCATAAAAACAAAAATAACCTAAACTTTATCTTGTCAAAGTCTTTTTTATTATAGCATACTGTGAACCATTTTTACCTATTAAGATAATAATGATTTAGTGACCTGTAAATTAACCGATATATTAAAACTATATTTTTAACGTGAATTTACCGTAAACAACACAAAATACGAATGTGAAAAAGTGACTTTGAAATAAACTAAGTAGATATATTTGATATTGATAAAATACTGCAGTTGCTTACATGTTGATATATTTACGGAGTTGGTTTCCAACTAAATATATTTCTCTGATCAATCATTTCTCATTTAGATTCATATAAAGAAATACTAAAATTTGTCGCTTAATCGGCTAATTGCGAACCTGTATGAAACATGCATTTTCATTGGCCAAATTTTATGTAATTACTCCATAAAATATAAAAATCGATGTCATTTTGAAACGTCATGCTTGATTGGCGAATGCGGCGGCGTGAGATATCACCAAGGAAAAGAGCCAACCATAAATAACTTTGATTAAAAATGAAGGATTAATTAAAATTTTATAAGGTAATATGTATTGGTCAATAAAGAAGAAAAATGAAAAACGGAGTATACTCTTAGCAAATATCACTTCTCGTTTTATTTGGAGTGCACTCCGTTTACTTGGTATTGCCGATGTCATGTAAAGTATAAATTGAAATAGACAACAGTATAATAAGCCATATTACTTGTGAATGACATCAGGCTTTTATCCTTCATAGTTTGAATATTGTAGACATTTTAATGCTACAAAATATGCATCATTATCGAATTACATACATAATTTGGATCTTTTACAAATGTAAATGTCAAATGCTAATTATTGCAAAAAGCCCCGTTTCGAAATGTTACACATATTTGTTTAACGTATATGTATTTACAGTCACTACGCTGAATAAGCTAGGTTAGTGTGTTAAAAGTCTCCCCAACCTGCCTTACAAAATGACTAATTTTTGGATTCTGACTGTAGTGTCCAGTCTGTGTGTGGTTACAGGTTAGTATGCTTTATTTGAAATTGATCTACCGTATCATTAATCATGCTTTTCAAGTTTAACACTCTATTGGTAAAATCAGGCAGAAAGAAGACACACATTTATGGGATGTAGACATCGTATCTAAGTGGCGGTCAAATCAGTTTTCATTGTACAATACTATAGTGAAATAATATATAAATGCATTTACCTATCTTTTCCTCTGCAATGCTTGTAGGCTATACTTCTTTACACAGTTCTACTTTGGTATGATATCCGTCATTTATAAATGTTCTCTTATGATTTTATATGTAAGGAAAGAAAAAGGCACATACAATAAGAAGGAATGAAAGAAAGAATATCTTAATGAAAGACCCCTTTTTTTATCATAGCACAAAAAATACTATATAAGATAATGGTGATTTAATTCCTGGTAATGTGTCATTTTTTTTTTCACTTTTGCTATAATCTTATATAATGATACATATATACATTGATTTTACTATTTTAAGTTACTGTTTATGTGTTAATATATTTCGGTTTTGAATTCATTTAATAACTATTTTTTCAAATAATGAGTTCCGTACTTTTCGGCGATATTTTGTGTTAGACGACAATTACTACTTGTCAAATCTCTATTACTTGCGATCTTAAGATTGCGGGATAAACATTCACGGATGTTTACATGTATCACGTTAAATATTCACGGATGATAACAGGTATTACGTTAAACATTCACGGATGATAACAGGTATTACGTTAAACATTCACGAATGTTAACAGGTATTACGTTAAACATTCACGGATGTTAACATGTATTATATTAAACATACACGGATGTTTACATGTATTATATTAAACATTCACGATGTTTACAGGTATTACGTTAAACTGTTATCAATTAAATACGTTATCGTTTATCTTTATTACATATGAAGGCACAAATTATATAGTACTATACATTCACTTTGTATGGAGCATTCGTCGAACATGGCTGCGCATATGGACTAAAGAACAAAAGGTAACGACGAAATCAACGTAACATATGGTGCACGAAAATGTATGTCAGAACTTCACAGAATACCTCGGCGAAGAGGAAAGAAAGTCTGAATTCGAGTTATCAAATTTGAGACTGCGGTTTGTTTACATTTATAGCACAAGCAAATCGTTGTCCTCCTACAGACGATGACCGTTGGAAGGAGTTTCGAGATTCCTGTTATTTTTTCAGTGAAAGGTCGACAACATGGCGGTCGGCAAAGGTAAACTTTATTGGAAGCATTGTGTTTGTGTATTGAAAAATGTTATTATATTTGTACAATTTTCAAGATTGCAAGTGGTAGAAAATGCTGTTGGATTTTCAGTGCCTGAGGTTTGCCGTCATCTGTATGTCACGTTTTGATAAAGTTGGATAGTGATACGGTATAGAATATACAAGTGTACTTGATGTTCTTTTAAAAATTATCAGGAAATTACCAACTTTATTGAATTGTGGGATGGACATACCTCCCCATTAAAAATACGCCTCTTCGGTTTTGAAATTTAGATTTTCAGTGTCACTGACAGTTACTAGAAGAACGAAATAGCTGTATAATGCATTTAAATTCATTGTTTGGATAAAATATCGTTGAGTATTGGGATTTATATAAAAATAGTTTTAACTAAGTTTAAACTTATATTGAAAGGTGTTCTTCACTTGAATGGTTTTGCACAATCTTCGTATTGTGGACATTTTCCTCGTTTATAATAATGATAATAATAATAATTCTGAACGCAGGTTTTTACAGCCTATATATATCCAGATCTGAGTTATCAAGTTTCCCGAAGATGAATAAGTTTGTTATTGTCTATTTCATGATTGTAAATGCAATCGGAATTACTTCCAATGTTTATCCAATCGGGATTCAAATGTTTTGACTGTTGGTGACGTGACAACGGCATCAGGAAGGGAGTTCCAGAAGTTAACCACCCGCTCACTGAAGGAGTACTTTCTCAAATTCAGTCTGCTTCTCCTTTTTAATAAAGAAAGACTGTGTCCTCGTGTTATTTTGTTAATGTTCGGGACCAGTAAACCCTCAGAGACAGCACTATCATATCCTCCATGTGTTAGCTTGTATACTTGGATCATGTCTCCTCTCAATCTTCTGTGCCTCAATGATGGTAATTTAAGGATCCTCAGTCTGTTTTCATAGCTTAGGTCTTTCATTCCCGGTATTTGTTTCGTTGCTCTCCTTTGTACATTTTCCAACTCATTTATATCTTTTTGCATATAGGGATTCCATACACAGGCACTATACTCCAGGTGCGGACGTACAAGCGCTTTATATAATAAACAAAATGTTTTGTTGTCTAAATATGTGTACGTTCTTCGGATAGTTCCCATTATTCTATTGGCCTTGTTGACTGCATCGTGAATATGTTGGTTGAAATAGAGGTTGTTATCTGTTATGATTCCAAGATCCTTTTCTTTCGTTATACACTGTAATGTAGCCTCGACTCTTCCGCTTTCCTCGTCTTTATATAAATGTAATGGTATATTATGGTTTTTCTTTCCTGTGAAAATGTAATGGCATATTATGGTTTTTCTTTTCTTTCCTTTTAGGAATCCTGTTCAGAAAACGGAAGCCATCTTGTTGATATTTTGTCCTGGGAAGAGAACGAATGGATCCACCAAAGACTGAATAGCTATCGCTATTGTATGTATCACGAATACACTGTGTTTATCTTTATAGGAGAGTTTGAATTCTTAATGAAAGCTTCATGTAAAATATCCAGATTATACAGATTAATTGCAATATAGATATAGAGGTCCTATTTGTACAGGCTTTACTCAGGTTTAAATAGAAGTGGATCTGATTGGTGAAAAAAGTAACGTGTACAAGATCAATAAATCTTAAAGGTCATTCCACAGAGTAAAATCAAACCATTTACAAGGAAAACTCCAAAATAGTGACTAGTTAAGGTGACCATCTTGATAAGCCGCAGCGGGCCAGTAGGAACGGGAGGCCACATACTCTCGCACATCCATGACCAAGTGTTAGACAAAAGGTAGCCGAATTGACTTCAGGATATTGTTAACATCTGGTGTATTTCTTTTTTTCCGATATTATGTTTACCATCTCGTTCCACTATTTTCGACCTTAGTGCACACAGGATTTTAGTACGACAGGAAAAAGCTGGTAGATAACGTACGATTCCGTACACTACGTAAAGTCAGTGCTAGTACACTCGACACTGGTCATTTGTCTGATTAAGCTGACCTTGTAGCCATTGAAACGTCACACTCGAATCTTCTATTAGATTAAAACAGACTAATCCTAAACAAAAATAATATTCGATTTGCAATATTCTTTTTCATATCGAATAAAAGCAATTTGATCCTCTATTCATTTTCGAGATGAAGACTATTACATCGGAGCAACAGACCAGCAACATGAGGGATTATTTATTTGGACCAACAGCGGGGATGCACTGGAATATGGAAACTGGAATGATGGTGAACCTAATCAGCACCTCGGAACACCGGAAAACTGTGCTGAAATTGATACACGGAGCGGTAGATGGAATGACATCCCTTGTGACATAGTTATGCGTTTCATTTGTAAACGTCCGATAACAAGGAAGTAGTCAATATCATCAACGTCATAGTATTATAGATATTGTGTTAATTTGAAAAAACGATTTTATTTTATTTGTAGATTTTTCTTCAATAAATATTTGACTTTGACAGTTATTGTTTGTTTTTCATTTGTAAGTGTAACATTTTCTTTGGATCTTACATGGGTTGACGTGTGAATTATGAAAAGAAATGATTGAATTTTGAATTTCAGTGATCCTTTAATCGATTAAACAGAAAAAGAAGCTGGACCTGTTTGATGCTCATTCTTCTGCCTGTTGGTTCTTTTGTTGTATACCTTGTACTCATTTGAGAACGTGACATTACTTACTTGGATTGAAAAAAAGTTTATCGGGTGTCATCGATGAAGTAGAAGAAGCTTACTCTTGCGGAACCCCTGTCTTATTCTCCTTGTACTTTTCAGGAGTCTTCGTGTAAATCTTTCTTTTGTTCATATTTTGCCCTATTTTCATACAATTTGAGTTTGGATTATGATCATGTTTAAATGTTGGTATCTTTTTTCAACACAAAGGGAGAACACAATCACTCATGGTTTGGTTGGTTTTGATTAGCCGAGTTAATTATTAAAGTAAGGAACAACTCATGTAATTAATAAATCATTTCTATAGGTTGCTGACAATTGTATAAACAAAAGTAATTGAACAATACATCAGTAAATGTAGCTTTCACACGTAACCGTGCAGATCTACAAGTGATATAATAACCACGATGACGTGGCAATCAGGTCCTTAAGTTTACATAGCTGTGTAGAGTTCTGCATATATCATCAAAAACGGCTGATAAAATTTTCTCAAGGAACAGGAGGAAGGCATCGGCTAGGAGCATTCCTTGAGGAATTTTCATACAAATATTTTCAGTAATGATAAAATCGACAATAAATAAAAAAAATATCAAAGTTTACATAGCTGTGTAGAGTTCTGCAATGCATCCTAGATGATATTGGGTGATGAGGTAAGAGCATAGGTCACAAACTCGGCAGTAATGATATCGACAATAAATAAAAAAAATATCAAAGAATTGTACAAAAGATAAGATAGCGGTTTTTTTTTCAAACTATGAATCATGCGCGCGTCCTGTCGTTGCAACGATAATCACACTGGATATGGTTTTCAATTTCTATCCACCATGAGCCAATTATTTAACATAATTATTTATGCTTCAATGTCATTTCAGCTAGTAATTAGCCTCCAGAAGAAAACTATATTAAATCTAATGCACATGTCAATAGTTAGATGTTATTGGTGTATATAGAATATAGAATTTAATAACAAATATCTAAAAAGGCTACTTTATGAATATAAATGTTACAAACAACAGTTTCCTATTACAGGTGTTAATATCTCTAAAATATCTCACTGAAAACATTAGTCGACATTGACCCCAAAGTGTTTTAAATAAGTAACCTCCGATGGAAATTATTTCATAGACCCAAACAGAAACTCTGAAATAAGTCACTGAAAACGAGAGTAAATATTTGCAGAATATTAACGTCATCAAAGTATAATGTGCTGGCAAGAACCAGTATGGATGTTACATTTCAAATCTCCATCCTACAGATGAAGCGCTGGGCCTCGGTACATGGTATATCGTTCCATTTTCCGGTACGAGGATTCATTTCCGAGCAGTCTTCGTTACTACCAGCATTGTTAGGCTCATTAAATGACCAGTTGGTATAGGAGTCATCTAACAGTGTGTCATTCTTTTCCCAATAGAATGTGCCCTCACGATTCATGTCGGTTGCTCCAATGTGATAGGAATTGTCTAGATAAAGAATAAAATAAAATGACATAAAGGAGAGATTTCAGGTTTTGAACAGTCATATCAGCTTTTCAATACAGGAGTCCTTATACTCTGTAATTGTTGACAATATAATCGATTATGAAATTAAAAATTGAAACATAATTCTTTGATCTATCACTGATTAAATTACTTTACTCTGTTTCAGTTTCAAGTTTTGCTAATATGTTTACGATCTGCACAATACAACACCATATAAAAATCGTCGTATTTGTTAAATTTCAATTGTTTTCATTAATACCGTACAAAGAAAGAATACTTACCATAGTTCCGAAAGTTTAATCTGTCCTTAATGAAGGCATTCTCTTCCTCAGAAAAGATATATGCAAGGTGCGCATTTACTCCTGGCATACTGTGACAAAAGTACTGAAATTCGTTTTATATATGTGAATCAATTCGAAAAACAATATATATATATATATATATATATAATATAATGAATTTTATAAAATGAATTTTAGCGCCCATAAAATAGCATGTTTACAAAATAACGTTTGAATTGAGTCAACCAACGAGAACAAACAAAATACATCATAGACTTCAAACAAATGTGAAGACAAATAATGCTAAATTATATTCGAAGCCTGAACTGTTAGTGACATATCATTCATTAGATTTTATACCACGTTAGCTTTGTTTAACGTACAGGTTGATTTATAAATAATTTTCGAATGGGTTTGTTTAGTTGAAAGTTTTATTCCTCGAGAATAACATCGGAAGAGAATACCTAAATAAGTTTACAGTATTCCAAAACAATCATAAAATACACAAGTGTACCGTCAACAGTTCAAACTCAAATTTTGATTAAACGAGGATATGATATGGACGAAATATAGGAATACAAGGACACAGAAAAAAACAAGGTAAAAACAGTATCATCAGACTCACTATTGGACATCAATCACACTCAACTTAATATCGCAAAAACAGTATAGTTGTCAAAGACGATAAAGGGAGGTAATAAGACATATCTTTAATGCTCATCAACCTGCTCTGATCATTTGTCACATGTCGACATCTTGCGAGGAAATCGTGATATCGGTAATTTATTGAATGCCGAATCAAATGTGACATGTAAACACCATAGGCTGGGGATGCAGCAATATCACTATATAAAAATGGAAAAATCAGAATAGGAAAACCGAAATTATTACACGTGTCATACGGCTTGATGGAAACTGCAGGTACAGACCTAAGTATACGGCTTATGTGGAAGAGAGTCTTTCTCTTGATTTCCTATTCATGTAGATTTATACAATGGATAAGGTCAATCAGTGTTTCGTCATTTAAAGACATGACATTATCTATGACAAGATCATCAATACTAATGAAAAAAGAGCGTGCTGTTTAATTTATTGTAATCATTTGCATTTATCTTAATTGTAATCGAATTCTTACCTGTGCATAAAGCCAGGATATTTGTATCTCACCGAAAAAGAAACAACTATACCCGAATCGTTTCCACTCTTCTTCCGGGCATTCCTCACTTAAGACTTCAGAGAAGAGAAGAAATGCTTAAAATAAAAAGTCTGAAATTACACACACACACACACACACACACACACACACACACCCTAACACGCACACACAAACGCCCTAACACACACACATACACACACACACACACACACACACACACACACACACACACACACACACACACACACACACACACACACCCACACACACACACAAACACACCCACCCTCACACACACACACACACACACACACACACACACACACACACACACACACACACACACACACACACACACACACACACACACACACACACACACACACACACACATCCATCTATCCTTCCATCCGTCCTTCCATCCATACATGTACTGTGTAATCTTATTTTTCTCGAATAACACCGTTTTTAAACTTACAAAAATCGGAAAATGCAACTTCATTTCTCATATATATCTCTCAACTATCATTTTAAACGTGAAAATCCATGCAATGAAACTTTTTTCACTTGAATTATGTAATGTATATTCCATTTTGTCCCAAATTTCCCGAACGTTGATATTTCATTTTCAGATTGATCAAGTCAAATATCAGAATCTTTCAATCAATATTTTTGTGTAATACCTCATAGCATTGAAATGAAATGACTGAGTGATATACTGATTTTTCCCATTGTCTCTCTAAACTACACGGTGTTATTCCGATCTTTAATCCTTGTGTACAGCATGAATACGTAACTATCTAACCTTTAGTTGATATTGAAAATAGTAGAACAAAGCATACTAAATAAAGGCAATTTTATATGGATAATAACACTAATTAAATATTGCCTTATGTCACAACGAAATGGAAAATAATGATATCACTTACCGAGTGTAATACTGCAGCACAGTAGCAGGGCACTTAAACCACGCAACATGACGTCTCTCTTTAAATTAAATATAGTTAGGGCTTTACATTCAAGGTTCGCTCTTGTGTGGAATGTGAAAAATGCTGTTCGATATACAGCTATCACATTGCTTATCAGATTCGTTACATTGCCGTCAATGGATTTAATTTCACTAGGCTATGTGAAACGATCAATTATCTTCCAACGTAATGATAACATAATCACAAAATTACTCTTGATAAGTCCACGAAACATTAATTTCATAAATTTGTCATTGATTTAATATCATTACGACTGATTCCATGAATCTCAATTGCGTCTGATTTTCCGTGAACTCTTATTCTGAATTATGAATGATTTTAGTCCAGTTTTGTCTTTTTAGAGTTCAACAAGGGACTAAAGTTGTTGAAACCCAAGAGGTAAGTGAGGAATATTGAATTTGGTCGAAATTAAAGTGAAGGGCCAGCTGAGATGTTCCGGTCCCAAAAATTTAATATAATTTTATAAATTTAAATTTTGTATGAGTTTATTGTAATATCAAGCGTATTTAAGTGCACTTATTAATTGTGTTATGAACCGTCCCACTATTCCAGTGAATTAAAACTTGGCACGGATTACAGTAAATCTTCCTGACTTAAAGACCATAAGCAATGTCTCCCACTTTCATTCACAAAAATTGTACAAAAGACAAACATATGAATAATAAAAAAATACACATGTGTTTGATTAATGCAATTACATGCACGTTAAACAAATGCTTTAACGCGTACGCAATCCAACGTACTTTACTCATATACCTCGAAAATATCTTGAATGTATTGGTGTATAAGTTCAGAGAGTACGGATGTTTTCATGTGTCACGCTTTAGTAAGACAGTGCTACGTGCTTGAGCTCTGCAGCAACTGAAGTTATCTTATCTAAACGAATAAATATATACATGATAAAATGACCTATTTAGCTAACCTGTGAACCAGTACAGTCCTAAAGTTCTATCGCCATATTGTTTCACTGATAAAGTTTTGATAACAGAGGGTTATATATCAAAAAAGATGTGTAGCACATGTTAACCTTAAAAGATATCGTAGTTTCAAAGTATCGTGTTCTGATGGTGTTTTTTTTTTAGAAAATTAACTATATAATTTGAAAAACATAATAATGAATAGCATATTACACTAAATCCTACGATTAATATCGGTTTTTTGAAGTGAAAATCTAATTTAATTATACAGTAACTTCTTATTATTCATTTAAACGTCATTTTGTTATGATGTCTGAAGAGGGCATACACTTCGATAATGGCAAGTATTAATATTTCCGTAATCTTCTTTTGATAGGATATTAACAAGGTGAGCACCACAACCAGGTGTTGTGCAACAATAAAACTGCGAAAATAACACATTGTAAATCCCATCAAATCAAGTAAAAATAAATAAATAAACAATTCATACACTCAAATAACAGTCAACAAAACATGGAATAGGTCATTGTAAACAGGCTTTGAAGTGGCTAAGAAACTGGACTAAGTTTTGTATACATTTAAAATTGATTTTTATTTGAGTTTTAGTGTAAATTTCCATTGAAAATATCCTACATGACCATTAAACTCTGAAGTGTTAGAAACTTAAATTTCTCACATGTATGGTGACCAAATGTGAAATATTCCGTGTTTCAAACGCGCTTGAAATAGTTCAATTGTACAGTTGTTTAGTAGTATGGTGATGGTATCGGTATGACAATGGTATATATTTGTGGTTTATTTTACGTTTAAAATATATATTTAACACAGTTGATGATTAAATCAATAATAAAAGATGCAAATATGTTAAAAAAAGAAATTTAAAATATAAAGAAAATAGACATAGAAAAGAGAAATATCAGTTTCCTAAAAAAAAGAATCAAGTGTATGTATAACCAATATCATAGGATTGCTGAATTGTTTACTTGATCATTAAAGTTCATAAAGCAAACATTAGCTGATACGTGCCAATATGATAAAAAGAATAACATATACATAATGCCTGATATTATTGTAAAATTGTGTTACTGTGTGTTATTTATAGTGTAGGTGTACCTTGTGAATAGGGCTTCCCCACCCATTTGGTTCCTATCTCAATATCAGGCTAAATTAGCTTATGTGTGAACGAGGTACAGAATATGTCATTTCTTCACTTATCAATATCTGTGCTATTTATGTATACAATTAAATGAATTTGAGTGAAAGTTATTTTTCCTTTTTGTTGTGTTTCTCTATACAAATCATTCAACAGGGTTTAAGCTGACCTTTATTTAACACCAGCTAAACTGATATGGTTATTGCATTAGCAGCGTCTTGGATAGAGATCAGTTTTCACAGACGTTCTCTGACCAAAGTTCAGCTCATCAATACCGTATATATCTACCATTGGAAACGATGCATGCTTGACAACAACGCCTCACTGATCCGACAAGTGTGCTGAAAAATACCTGGGGAATACGTTTCCATATTCTCACAAGCGCACGTGACAGGGCAGGTAACGTCAACGGCTGATTTTGGAGACGATGTAAGTGACACTGCCTCTCATCAAGCATGTGTTCTATAGGCGACATATCCGATGACACTGCAGACCAGGTCAGCACATTCATATTGTTCTGGATCAAACAGTCAGTAACGGCCGGCGCGACGTGCGGGCGAGCGTTATCATGTTGCAGCGTGCCTTTATGTTGCTGCACAAATGGAAGGCCGTGAGGCGGATGATTTCGTCACGGTATCTGATGCCTGTAAGTGTGCTGTCCACTAACATAAACAAAATGTCATATTACATAAAAGATTATGAGAGCTAATAAACAAATGTCTATATTGAAATCTTACCAGAGACAGTTTTTGCAGACAAACTTTCTTCACTTTTTTAAATTCGATTAAAATAAATTGACAGATACAGAGGTTAGATCGCTCATTGTCATCAGAAATTCAAATAACGACTGTGGAAATATTTACTTGTATTTTTGAAGCTACAAAATGTTTGAGAAATTATTGGTTTTAATTACTCTTGAAAAAAATGACTGCTCAGTCACTGAATCATTAGTGGCGTATCATAGACATGTGATATGACCTTAGAAATAGTTATATAGGATTTGTTTCTGATTATAAATAAATATGTGTAAGTTTCTCTTGTATATGTTTATTACACTTATTTTATCACAATATGTGAAATGAAGTGTTTGTAGTTCGTCAATAGACCAGTAAGTTCCGTTGATGTTGACGTTGTTCTTATCTAGGAACATGGCATATCTTACTTGGAAAATTTTGCATGGTGATTAAGCAAAAGACGATTACTCTCCGGGATCATGTTATTATTCTCCTCGCACATGTTCAGGAGTTTACGTATGAATATTTATTTTGTTCATTTTCTAAAGAAATTAAATATAATTTGACATTGAATTCAGATTGTGTTGACATGTCGGTAGTTTTTGTTGTTTTGACATCCGCGCAGTGATAATTCTTTTCATATATTACGACAAATTTTACAAACTTATTTCACAAATTTGTTAGTCTCTAAGTCATTACGACTAAACGGCCAAACATTTTTAGCACCATAAAAACAATTTGTATCACATGCACCATTTAATTTGCCTAAGAAAGTTTGACAACTGCGCCAAAATTGTTGAATATATCATTATCCTATCGCGTCTGTAACTTGAATCCAAAGTTTTTGTAGCGAAGGTAAAGCTTGATATACACAAAAATGTAGGTTTGTACTCTAAAATATTTTTCTTGAATTATTGAGCAGCATACCTTGTATAAGATAAAACTTATTCAATTATTTCTAAAAGCAAGATGTTATTTGTAGAAAGTTCATAATTCATTATATTATTGTACAGATGTCATATGTGTCTGGCACAGACTTTTTCTAATACTTGCGTAGCAAAAAGTTTGCAAACTCGCCAAATTTTTATGTGTTTAACTCTCGATTTATCCGACAAGAAGTGCGTTCATTTTTATAATTTTTGTTATAACACTTACCACGTCACGTTCACTGAAAGCTCTATCAGTATCTATTTGTATTTTTTGCCATAAAACTCTAAACGTACGTCTTGATTGTCTCTGTGCCTGGGTGTTTGTTTACATGTGAAATTGATTACAAATAAAATAGGATTTTGGTCCAACATCTCGAACATACTTATGAGTTATGTCTATGATCACTTACAGATATATCTTGACTTTAATATACTTAATTCTAATGATTATATCTACAGTTGTCGATATGTAGAATTATCTTCTCGCACAAGTCATTAACGCAAACATTTTTTTCGAATCATTGAATGTATTCATTTGATGTGGATATAAATGCTTCCTGCCTGCGTTCATAGTCATGCTATTAAATGCTATCAAAGAATCGTACTCACCACGGCATATAGATGTCTTTCACTAGATAAATAAAATTACCAAAACAGTATCATAAATGACATTTTTTCAAAAGAATGTAACTTTTTTGTTCTGTTCTCCGTTTCTTTGTAATCGTTGTAGAAGAGAAAAGAAAATTCCAGTTAAGCTGAATGATACGAAAGATAATTTACAGTGTGAACATTGCATATATATTTCACAAACAATGTATTTATTTTGCAGGCTTTTGTTGTTTACAAGATTGCCTTTCAAAAGGTATCACTGAAATTGACGATAATTCTTGTAAGGGAATAAAACCCTCGATAATTTAATGAAAAACTTAATGTACTTATAATCAGTATTATTTTATTATATATACTTCAACAAAATCATGAAAACTCGTATACAACAATTCAGTCATTTTTTCTGAAAAATAAAAAGGGAACTCTTTGTTTCAGTATCGACAATAACTTTTCGATGTTTAGATATAAACTAAAAATTATATTTGCTGAATTACAGCTTCTCACTTCAATCATTATTGCATGATTGATGACATCGCACAAATAAATAAATAGATAAATAAATCAATATGCATATTAAAGCCAACACAATTACTTATTTTGGATAATTAGATATTTATTATATACAAATACACGTTAGTCAATTATGTACATAAGACATAAAGAAAAAAAGCAGAAAAGAATACAATAATGGTCACTTAACACGCATTATAAAGAGCACTAATAATTTATACATGCTTATATAATAAATTATGACATATATATCGTAACACTTAAAACTATGAAAGATGGTATGGAAGTGAAGGGGGATTAAAACAGAGCCTTTCTCAGTCAGTCATGATACAATTTATAAACGAATCTTCTTGAACCCTTTTCACTTGAAATCGACTTCTAACTACTGATTCATAGACATTGTAGTTTTTCGTATTACATTATATTAGTTATTGTGTGTTGAAACTGGATGCAAAATCATATAAATGCTTACCGGCTCTCACAGTTAGGGATATGTAAAATTTCAGTCATAGGATTGTCCATAAATAATTGTCATCGATTTGACATATGTTTTGAAAATCTCTTTATAAACTAGTAAACACAACACGGAATCAAAACATTTAGCCATATCAGTAACAATATCATAAATACACAACATGAAAATACTGAAAACTCTGCACGACTCCGAACTGCTTGTCTGTAAGCAAAACCATCTCGAGTTATGAAAGAAAATGAAGCTTTCTCTCATGGGTAGGACACACGAGGTATTTCTTCCAGGAGGGTCTGCTCCTTTTCTGAGCTACTGATTGTCGGAACGCTACTTTTGTTCCCGAAATCCGAATCACTCGATTTAGAACAAACGGAACCCTGAGAGCTGCCATACAAGCATTTTTGACTTGAAAATTTACTCAACCTGGATCTTGATATGGTTGGCTTGGTGGATCTCCTGCAGCAAAGTAGATCCATCAGTCCCTGCCGGAACTGCTGCGAGGTTGTGACATAAAGGAAAAAGTTGATGGCATAATTCACTTGTTCCAAAATCTGTGTGACGTCCCTGAAGATTAGAAAGCCATTTGGATTTTGTCCAAATGCCCTGACACCAAGAAGAAAGGAGATGACATGTAGGAATGTGACTGGCAGGATCAAGATGATGTAAGCAGTGACAATACCGAGCAGCATGGCTGTGATTCGTGTTTCCTCCACTTTGTTCTTGTTACTGGCAATGGCATTCCTTTTCTTCTTGTGATCCAAAAGTTTCTTGATGATCAGAGGGGTCAGGATAACCATGATAACAGCCGGTATAAAAGAGTAAATGCTACATCCCCCAATCAAAAACCGTCCGAATGTGGCCCTGTCCTCGGGATCGCTAGCGTTATATGCGTCAGGATGGCATTTCCCGTTCACAATGGTTGACCAAGGAGACCAGATGGAGTTGTAAGTACCGATGAAGATATAAACACTAATGATAGACAGAATAGTATTCCTCTGCGTACAGATCCTCTTTGCGCGAAAAGGGAACCAGACAGCAACAAATCGTTCGACACAGAGCAACACCACAAACCATGATGAAGTCATTTTACCTGTTTTAAAAAATACAAAATAGATCTTGCAACCAGCCTCAGATAATGCTCTGAGGTCTATTCCAGTCAATCTGATAACGAAAATTTTATTTAGAGGTTGTGTTAAAAGTAAAAGTGAGTCAGAAATAGCCAGCGCCATCAGCAGTAGACGTGACGTCAAATGTGCGTAGCGTCGGGTGGTCATAATGATAATCGTAAGGCCATTTCCGGTGAGGCCAAGGAGCAGGAACGTCGGTAAAAGGAAGTAGTTAGCGTGCTGAAGGACCTCTAAGATTTTCAACAAAATATCTCCGTTTGCCCCAAGAGTTGTTACTGTCGATGAATTTGGACTTATGGTACCATTAAATGACAAATTTGTGGCAAACGTAGTGGAATCAGGAGCCTGGGTCACATCGATGGACTGGTTACTCAGGGTTTCTCCTGTGTCATTAAATGACGAAAGAATAGAATTGGTACCAAACATGTCCATTGTAAAGCCTGAAAAATAAAACAATAATAATATCACCATGAGCAGGAAATAAAGCCATAACAAAACCCATTTTGACTGAAACCGTATCCCATATTCCACCCGTTACTTATGCAGTCGGTCGACATTTTAAAATTAAAAATATCTGTTCGGTTATTGGAAGAGATAATAGATACAAAAATTGAAATAAAATTTCATTGCTCTGGAAAGTTCGCCAAATAATTCTATTTGGTGAATATGATTCTATTGCAGACATAGACAACTGTTCCATTTCCACATTTACAGTAAACATGTAGGATCTTACACGAGTTTTTATTTGGTATGGGATTAATAAAACGTATGCCACGTTTTAATTCATTTGAATAGTGGCACTTTTCAGAATATACACATATACTGGACGTTCTTCTCAAATTATCAGCTTTATGAAATTTAGAAAAAAAGAGAAGAACATAAAACAAAATATGAAGATTTTCCTTGGTCGCCTTTTAGGTTTAAAGTTTAGGCCGCCCTTGGCATCACTGATGAGTCATAGAAGGACAAAACATCTTTATGATGCAGCTTAATTTATTGTTTGGTTCCACTGTGTCTTATCTAAATTTGTATTAAAATGCGCTAAAATGTACTCAATAATGCTACATGGACATATTGACTGAATAACAAATCAGTCATGTGATAGTGATTGAACGACTATATAATTATACAAATCTCGAAATAATCATATTGAAACAGCACATATAACCAAAATTTTAAAAAAGATATAAAATCTCCGGATCGTAGATATTGCTTGGAATTCCATTAGAGTCGACTGCATTATTAAAGACATTGATATCAAATGCCGCAGTCATTACTGTTATATCTTCATTAGAACCATACATTTATTTTAAAAGTTCTCATAAAGTTAAGTATCTAGGAGGAGTTTTTTTTTTGTTATAGAAAGTATATGAAGTCTTGTAAATAAATAAAACAACCATCAATCAAATCCTGGCACCACATAGTACTGAATTAAATATGAGATGGACCAAACTGGTAAATGCTTGTTATAGGTTATTTTGCATAGCTTTTAAGGTCACATAAGCCAAAGGCCATAAACTTTTATCTGTCGTTTTGAGTCGTACGTTAAACTTTTCACATTTCAACTTTTTCTCGTGAAACGCTTGGTCGTGAACACTTCAATACCAGAAGGGGTCGTGGTCGTGGTTCCCACCACCATGGGGCCCATGAGGCGGACCAAAACAGTGAAAAAGCATGTTAATATAAATAATTCATTCTCTGCTTGCAGATACAACTGATATAAGCGGTTTTTATTGTTATGATGTCTAAAAGTAGCGCTTGAAAAATAGCAAAATTTATGATCTCTGAATTTATTGTTTAGCCTCTGGGGATGAGGCAGCTTTGGGGCGGAATCAAGGTACTGCAATGAAACTACAATTCATATTCACAAGAAAGTTGTAAGAAATTATATTTAAGGTCAAAGGGTTAAAAGTCACCAATATTTTTTGTTAACTTTTCCATATTTTCAGCTTCTCAGAAACCACTAGGTCAATAGAAATAAACCTTAGCCACTAGCATCAATACTTAAAGTAGCATTAAACTTGTCCCACAGGACAGGTACAAAATAGTAAAATAATATGTTATTCTATAAAATCATCTTTGCTTGGAAAATTGCAAAATATGTGGTATCTGGATGAACTTTTTAACCTCCAGGGTTGGGGCTCATTTGCGGCCGAAATACTGAAACAGCAATCGCTTGAAAATCGTTCACTTTTTGTATACTTGTATTTCAAAGTTGTAGGGATTGATGCGAAGATTATTTTGGCTGTAAACTGTCTCTTTTTGTAAAAGCGCATGCATTTGAAATATTAAACAACTACCAGTATGCTGTAAAATTAACATGAAGGCTGACAGGTAAACAGGGATCCTTTACACGGTTTAGTTGGAATTTGCGATAATATCAACGTATACATGTATGTAGATATTATCTGACAAGTTCGACAGATTTGAATAAATGGCTACTGCAAAACATTAACCATCCTATCGGTATACACAATACAGCATATATTATTGTCAGTCAGATTAACAAGCCATGAAGCTAAATACTTGTGTTTATTATAAAGATTTATCAGCATTTTTTTTTAATTTCACAATTTAAAAATTAAAATATCATTATGTTAGTATTCTCAAAAGTAGGTGAACAAACGGACAGAAGGACAGATGCAATATGATCACTGAAATACAGCAGCATCTTCAATAGATTGCAAAGGAAAGAAACGAAATGACACACATATTAATAAGAAAACCCCAAATCAGGAAGTAAACAGAGCGAAGAGCTACAAATAAATCGATATTATTATATCAAAACTTAAACATCGCTCAAGAGCCGTGAAAGACATAGTTTCTTCTTGTACCCTTGTAATCTGATGACGTGTTTCAGGTATGGACACAGGATTGTGACGGGTTACAGAGTCAATAATGTAGCGAATGACGATCTTGGTATAATGTCAGTAACACGCATTTCGTTCAGCTGTAACGATTTGTGCTCATTTTGGAAATTGAACAGTTATTTTTGATAATATTGATGTCACATATCTAAGTTGTTTATGGAATTCCCTTGTTATAGTCGCAAGAATAAAATTTTGAGTTGATATTGCCTCACAGAAATATCTATTTATAAATGTAATCTCATAAGATAAGGAAGGAGACGAAACATTCGGCTGAAACCTATCCTTCTGTGTAGATATTTATGTGAATTAGACTCCCGAAACTCATTCGTATAGAGGTAAACGATCATGGGCCAAGTGACTGTAATCTAGCCAACAGGTCGTCATTTTTGGTTTTTGAAAGTCAGATCGATTCTTGAAGTTTTGAAGTGAAAATTAAAATTCTTTAAAAGAGAATTGTTATCATGGTTTTTTGTTTTTCGCTCTTGTTTCGATAAAAGATTGAATTTTAGATTAATTCCGTTAAATATACATCCACTTTACAGAGCGCTGTAGGTACAAAAGCCAAAATTTGAACCATCGAAGAAAATTGAAAATGCTGAAAAAGCTAACATGAGTGATATGTCGACATTTCCCCCAAAATTTTGACATTTTTTTATCGTACATTAATAAAAGGAGTGAATTCAAAACAGTTATTTTATCGTAAATTAAATATAAATGGAATTCAAAACATACAAATATATGCGAAGCAAACGTTTTTCAATAGTTCTTACCTTATTAGGAGAATACCGAGGATCTTCACAATACCTGAGCTTGACCGAGTTGTGGACAGTGAGATGACAAGTTTAACAGAAAAACAGATGTAGCCTGCCTGTATAGTGTTGCAGAAAGTGACGTGGTTATGCTATATCGAAGATTGACACCACATATCACTTCTTCATTAACGCTGTGTGACGAATGAAACCTCGCCATTAATGAGTACTGACGTGCTAACAGATGATGAGAAGGACAATGTTACACAGATTCATTTGCAATAATGAAGCAGAATCGACATGTAATTAAGTAATATATTTCGTTCTGTTTATGATACTGGTTTACAGATACTGATGTTCATGGGCAGGATTGTAGCATTTTTATATTGTGTAATTTTCGTTTGATGGTTTCTTAGTACTTCATGGCTATATGAGAAAATAAAGTTAAGATTGTGTTTAGTACGGTTTGAGAATTTTCATTCATCAGGGCAGTTTATGATTTGGTATCGATTGTTACTTATTCACCATTTTAGGGGCAATCTAACACAAAATGAAATGTGGATAAGTTGATTAAAACAAGCATAATGCTGATTACCATAAGACTTAAAGTATATTGTAAGCCTTTCAAAAATATGTTTCCTAAGTTGGAAAAAAGCCTATTCGTGTTAGCTTCAATTGTCTTATTATTCCCAAACTAACAATTATTACAATCCTGATTTCTCAGCATCTAATATTTGTCTCCTCTCAAAACTACACGATTTATATCTTTTTCATTTACTCTGCCGTGATAGTATTCTTGTAAGCGAATAAAGAGGTTTTCAAATAACACGTTTATGACCTGTCTATTTGTTTTCAATCACAGTCCAGATCCAATCTGCAATCTGATAAGAACAAAATTGTGGCGTTTTGGAATTATTTTTTTCTTATCTCAAACACACCATATTAAATCGACATAAAGATTTTTTTAACGATTTGAAGAGTTTCAAATTCCAGAGGTGACTTTTGTGAAACGTGTAAATCCGTTGAGTTTTTTTATGGAGGGGGGAAGAGGGGGGGGGGTCCCATTTTTCATTTTTTATGCATCTGTATTTTCATATCTATATTTCAGTGATTTTATCGATTCTACTTGCATTCTGTCGAAACTAACACCACACAAACTACACTCAGCTGAGGTAACAGAATCAGATTTTTGCCGCCCCCCCCATTCTGAGACTGGATCTGTCCATTTTCCGTTATTTTGCCTGTCTTGTGCATGATAATGAATTATCATTTATCACATGTACAAAAATTTTGCTTCAAACATGATGATATAATTGACATATTGGTTTTTTCCATGATTTGTTTTGCATTTTACAATACTGATGTTGTGTTGAATGCTTATGACACGTAAGGCTTCAAGTTAGATAAACAATGAACTATCGCCTCTCATAAACACAGATACCATACGATGTTTATGACAAACTGGAAACAATAAGCTGTTCCGGGTGTTAAATGTGTTAGTTCAGTACATCAATTGTTGTCACACCCTTTTTGTTTGATCAGGGAAATATTTACCACTGGAACTTAATATCGCATACATACCCATTGTTACAGTAAAGAAAGAAAGAGCTGAAACAGGCACTGAATGATCCGCGATATTAAATGTAGTAATATATCACTATCTTTGTATATCATAACTGATCATTTACACTTCCTACAGGTGTTTTCTGCAAGCAGGTATGGGGTTACAGGTAACAAAAAAGGCATGAAAAGTGGTAAGGGGTATTGAACTAGGATTGTGTAAAACGTATATTAATGATATATTGATTTTATTTCAGTTCTGGAAAACGTTTTATCAACTACATGAAAGTATTAATCATTATGAACGGCTCAAATGGAAAAGGTTTATTTGCATCATTATCACAAATACGCTTATGTTCGACACAAGATGAAACAACACAAGAGGACAAACTTAAATGTCATAATAAATCATGGAATTTTAATTGAAGCATCAAGATGAGTCTAAAGAACAACCAATGACAAATTTTGTTTTTAGTAAAGGTATAAACCAATTTACTATATACGGTAAATATAAATTGATTGTATACGCCAAAAAGGAAAGGTGCTGTATCCCGATCTCTGTGTGATTTCAAAAATATAGATAAAGATCAAATAGATTTAAAATGAATCTACTTGATATTCTTTCGATAAAAGAGCACTACAAAAAAGCTACCACTTTCACGTCAAGTTTCAGTTTAAAAGAACTTTCAAAATAGAATTTTCACATTCATCGACAAAGTACTCATAATTCAGCTCGGAGAAGCTTCACAACAGGAAGACGTGCTCACTTTAAGGAAACCAAACTTCCTGTAAGCCAATGTTTGGTGTCTAGACAGATTTGTTTGCATAGAAATAAGCTCCAGTATTCTGCAAAAACAGTTCTGAAAATAAATCGTTTAACACGATGTCCACTTCAACATGACTTCGCCGATTAAAGATTTATTTGTCAAAATTGATGAAAACCTTTTATGTATCAGTAATCTAACAACGGCAAACTGTGGACTGCTACCATATCATTGTGATTGTTCCCGAGACTATAATATGTTATAATACATTCACGTATATATCAAAGTGCAGTAAGTAATGTCTTTCATACATCAAACCATCTAACTTAACTTCCCCACAAAAACAAACAAACAAAACAAGAAATTCCAAAGGGATCTTGTCGCCAACAATTGTTTGACCTTCATTTGTTCTGTGAACGTTGGATCTTTTCCTTTCTTTTCTCTTCTGTGTTTTTGCTCTTATTGACAAGAAAATTGAACATTAATTCTTTGCAGGAAGAGCGATAATAATCTTTAAGAACCAAATAAAATATGGTCAGCTGGAATCCATTTCGTTTTCGTCTGATCAGTCCCAAAAATAAAACGGGCACTAGAGCCGATGGAAACCTACATAGGAAATTTGAGAGAGAGATATTCAGTACTTCTCAAGAAATAGTTATAACAAAATTTACTTGGTGAAAACCAAGATGGCCGCCTGTCGGCCATTTCGCTTTTCAGATCTGACCCAAAATCAAACCGACGCAACAAAGGGCTAGGGGAACCTATAAAATATTTTTTAGAGAGATCCATTCAGTAGTTCTCAAATGCATTCAGTACTTTTCAAATCCATTGAAAGTCTATATAAGATATATTCTTTGAAAATCAATCAGATTTGTTGTCTCTTCCAAGAAACATAAATGCTTCAGGATGGAAGATACGAGTTCCTAAATTATTAGTTGTTATTTTAATGGCATTTAACTATGCATTATGAAAGATTTGTATTATCCGGAACATCAACATTCCGTCTTCGATACTGTTCATTAAATGTCGCCATTAATAGGGCAGCTGTCGCCACAGCGGCTATCAGGGACCAGTTCATCCAGGCAGTTCCTACAAAGAGGATTGTATAAAACGTGAAGAGATCGAACAGCAATGAAAAGTGCCGTAGTTATTAAAATTACATGATTTTTATAACGCCACATACATTGATACTTCAATGTTGATGTCACCGATGTGCTATTATATAAGGATGAAGACGAATTCTTTTCTAGAGTATTTGTATATCGTAATTTACTATGTTGTTGTCTTGTTACAAATATGATTTTTAGAAACGACAATATATTGGGTATGACTGACAAAGGGCAGCCAGAATCCATCATTGGACTTGATTATATTGATCTTAAATCAATTTTTAATACATCTGATTTTTAAAACGAGTTTTAGAAGTTTTTAGTTGTGAAATTTAAGATTCTTTTTATCAGACAGTTTAGAAAAATTAGAATTGGACAGGTTGTTAATTCAAATGTGGAAGAAGTTAAACGGAAGCATCCATTTCATGGCGCTATTATGACAACGTTATTGATTTCAGATTTTTGACTGGCCCGGCTAATGAAAAAAACTTCAAGAGTATATTACACAATCGAAATATACCACAATATTACATTTAAATTAGAGATACCTAAATTGGATATGAGATACACCAACAGAATATATCATCAGGGATACCTATATTGAATATGAGAGACACCAACATAATATATAATTAGAGATACTTATATTGAATATGAGAGACAACAGAATATATCATTAGAGATACCTATATTGAATATGAGAAACAACAACAGAATATATCATTAGAGATACCTATATTGATAAAATGAAAGCTGTTCAATGCTTTAAGACCTACCTATATTGGGTATTAAAGATAACAGGTAAACTAAGGATCCAGTGAGGTTCAGGAAGAGAGTGATACAACCGGAAATGACACCTTCAGCTGCAGGGTAGGCGCCCTCACAGGCCATTTCATAAAACAGAGGTATGGCTCCAGTAACAAGAACACTTCCGGAGATACATGTAAGGTTGATCAGTACTGTAAATACAAAAGTTATGCAACCCACAATTTAATATATGTTTGACACGACAAAAAACATTACGAGAATGGATTTAATGGGTCTGCATATTACTGGCACTCTGTTGGAAGATCGCAGACCGGAACTTAGGTTGTTCGTTGACCTTTCGATTGATTTTCGATAAATGTTTTTTCATGAAACCTTAATACATTACTAAATGCGATAACTTAGTCGATTAGAGTGCTGTCCTAATATCCTCAGGGGGAAAATGCGAGGTGCAAAGTTCGATGCTTCGTACTGATGGCGGTTTGTGTTTCTCATGAAGCCGAGCAATTGACTGATCTGTGCTGACGTGGTTGTGTCCTTGGGCATGATACTTCACTTAAATTGTTCTTGACGGTATGCGACGGGTATGCAAACCCAAGTCTTTATTAGGTGAAAAATAACATAAAATCGAAAACACTTAAGGAAACACTGGTAGACAGATATTTCTTTGAATTACCAGACTCTCATGGCGCACATTAATCAGACATTTTAATGAAATAATTTTGAAATGAGTGCAACCAATGACCTACATTTAAACTATACTATCTTTAAAGACAGTATTTCATTTGAATTCCTAGATAGAGTATCATAATTACGTTGATATGTATGTATATATATAAAAGAATGATATCCGAAATTTTGAAATCTTACCTGAACTACCAGGTATAATCTGGTAACACATTAACGTGAATAGGACGTAAAACACTGTTGCCAGGGAATATGTGCCAATTAAGAAGAGCTTCATCCTTTTATAGAATAGGTCAGCAAATCTGCAAAGAAATCGAAACAAACCTCCGTGTGACATTATATAAGTATTTCCCTGTCAACAGCATGGACGGCAAATCGTCCTTTCTGCTTTAATCGCTTGTATTAATCAATAAATCAGTCGCTCTTTGATAGGTAAAATCTATAATCGTATGCAACAAAACAGCTTTCTTCCATGGCTACCAATTTTCGCGATCTCAGCATTCAAAGAGGTTCGACGAAATAAACTTTCGCAAACATAAACAAGAGTGCCGTGGACACAATATACGCCGTCAGAAAATATAAACATCAAGATTGATCCTTTTAATTATCGCTTTTAACATGTCTGTATTATAAATCTTACAAAAACCAATGAACCGTAAAATCGCCCCTTCATTTACATCGTACCATTGTATTCGTGACATTGAGCAAGTTTTATGAAAATCTGATGATTAGTTTAGGAGGAGTTGCGTTCACAAAGCTACACTAAGAGCAAGCTACAGATACAAAGTTGAAAATGGAATAAATCTTACAAAAATCAAAGAATCGAAAAATCGCCCCTTCACGCACATCTACCTATTGTAGTAGTGATATTGAGCAAGGTTCATGAAAATCTGATGATTAGTTTAGGAGGAGTTGCGTTCACAAGAAATTGACGTACGTACAGACGGAGAAGATGACGCCAATATACGACCGCCTCCGGCGGCGTATAATAAAACGGATGAAGAAGAAAGTAAGCAAAATAAGAAACTAGATATACGGTATTTCTACAGCTGACCATTACTTGTTGTTTTACTGTTTCTAATGTTTTTTCTTTGCACTATCATCCTAAAACATTTGTTCAAATTTTGTTGATGGAAAACGAGTTCAATAGATTATTAAAGATTCATTTGTCACTGATCTCGTTGGTCAACTAATGTATGCCAAGAAACACAAATGACAAAAAAGACTAAAAAGACTTTCCACTTGCACACTCCATAATATAACATACTAATTCCTAGTGCCATCTTTAAATCAAACATTGGGTTTGTTAATTCATACAAGTGTGGGCATTATTTTCAAATTTTATTAAAATTCCAGATTACTTGCCTTGAAAGTAAAATTCCGAGTAAAGTTCCTCCAACACATCCCCAGAAACCAAGCCAACCCGCCTCGATCTGAAAAGAAAACATATTCCTAGAACAACTGTCTCTCCCTATACATAGCCAAAACTACTGGTATTTGTTAGTGGACCTCTCAATTCAAATGTAATCAGATTTACCCCTGTGTTATAGTTGCCAGCAATAATGTCGGCCAGTGAAATATTTGTAATGACAGCCAGTGTGAGCTACACAGTATTATGTTTGTGATGTCAGCCAGTGTAAGATACACAGTATTATGTTTGTGATGTCAGCCAGTGTAAGATACACAGTATTATGTTACTGATGTCAGCCAGTGTAAGATACACAGTATTATGTTGGTGATGTCAGCCAGTGTAAGATACACAGTATTATGTTTGTGATGTCAGCCAGTGTGAGCTACACAGTATTATGTTTGTGATGTCAGCCAGTATAAGATACACAGTATTATGTTTGTGATGTCAGCCAGTGTGAGCTACACAGTATTATGTTTGTGATATCAGCCAGTGTAAGATACACAGTATTATGTTTGTGATATCAGCCAGTGTGAGCTACACATTATTATGTTTGTGATGTCAGCCAGTGTAAGATACACAGTATTATGTTTGTGATGTCAGCCAGTGTGAGCTACACAGTATTATGTTTGTGATGTCAGCCAGTGTAAGATACACAGTATTATGTTTGTGATGTCAGCCAGTGTGAGCTACACAGTATTATGTTTGTGATGTCAGCCAGTGTAAGATACACAGTATTATGTTTGTGATGTCAGCCAGTGTGAGCTACACAGTATTATGTTTGTGATGTCAGCCAGTGTGAGCTACACAGTATAATGTTTGTGATGTCAACTAGTATAAGATACACAGTATTATGTTTGTGATGTCAGCCAGTGTCGGATACACAGTATTATGTTTGTGATGTCAGCCAGTGTGAGCTACACAGTATTATGTGTGTGATGTCAGCCAGTGTGAGATACACATTATTATGTGTGTGATGTCAGCCAGTGTGAGCTACACAGTATCATGTGTGTGATGTCAGCCAGTGTCAGATACACAGTATTATGTTTGTGATGTCAGCCAGTGTGAGCTACACAGTATTATGTTTGTGATGTTAGCCAGTGTCAGATACAGATGTGAGACAATAGGAACAACGTCTTGCTAACATTTACGCGAGATTCTCACCCCATGTGATTGGTGTCTGATGGTGAGAGATACGTGATATATAGCAACATGATTCTTGATGAAAACTGTTATCATTTAAAAGATAATTGATTTCACAAAACAGAGTTAATAATTTGTTTATTGACATATTACTTAATTAATTACATTTGTCAATTAGAATTACTAATTTCTTCTATAAAGTATCTTGCTACCCTATGGTCATATATGTCATGATTTGATTAGAGTTATTTTCATTTTTTAACGTCTGAACATGTTTAAAACATATTGTATTAAAACGATATCATTACAGCTTTTGTGAGCAGTGGCTATTTCACTCCAAGATCACTGACTCCTTCAATAAAAGTGAGTGAAGAGAAGGTGGTGAGATACACTCGCATGGGCGATACAAGTATAGAGGTGGTACACATTGTGTAGGACGGTGATAACAAGACATTCTGGTCATGTTTGTAACCTTGTATGTTAGAAAGGAATAAAAAGGAATTTGAAATACAGCAAATGCTTTAAACAATTTGCACTGTTGTCATTTTAATATTTCGTTGTGAGATTTTATAAGTCCGCTTGTCTATATATAACAAGATCCAAATCATTGAGGTTATTCTCATGCAGAACTGAATTCAAATGAGTTTTCTTTTACTTCAAAATTCAAATCTTTCAACAGACACATAAATAGTTATAAGAATAACTTTAGAGACCGTATATCGATTTGAAAATATTTACAGAATAATGAACATTGTGTGCATAATAAAATGTATTCTCTCAAGATCCACAGGTTTTGAATTCAATTCCGGGAGACCACTAAGACCCAGTTGCTTCTCTCAAAGAAAAATATATACAGATATCAAACAGACAAAACTGACAATACATAGATATGATCTACCAGAATGTTAATAGTTCAGTAGAGATGGGACAAATTATATTTGTGACCAAAATTGTCACCTGTTGCTTGTCATTGTCAAGAATCTAATTAAAGATGTTGTTGCCACAATCTGATTATTTTCTGTCTCTCGTCTTTTTATCCCCCCCTCTCTCTCTCACTCTCTCTCTTACTCTCTACCACTGTCTCTCGTCTTTTTACTCCTCTCTCTCTCTCTCTCTCTCTCTCTCTCTCTCTCTCTCTCTCTCTCTCTCTCTCTCTCTCTCTCTCTCTCGTCTTTTTACTCCCCTCTCTCTCCCTCCTACTCTCTCCCTCCCTCTTTTTCTCTCTCTCTCTCTTTCTCTCGTCTCCATGTCTCTCTAACACTGTCTCTCGCTCTCATATCTTTGCCTCTCCCTCTAATGATTAACTTTCACACTAGAATCAAATGTTCGATAAAACTACTTAACCGAGAGAAAATTACCGAAAAGAAGCATGACCATGAATATGCACTATGAAATTCCGAAAAGATAATACCAGTATTAGTAGTATATTAGTTTACCTGAGAAATGCCGAACTGATGGACACTGACATCCAGCGTACTGACCCACATGCCGTAAATTCCGGACGGGATAGAAAAGGCCAAGGCTAGATGCCAGAATGGTAACATCCTGTCACAAAACTGGGCACATTAAACATGAAATACAACTTTAAATTACGGTATTGTTTGCTTTATGTTTTTGCTATTTTGCTCCGCTAACAACATTTCTAAAAATTGAATTCATGTTTGAGAAAATAATGTTTAATGCTAATAGCGGTTATCTATGTTAATGTTTAAAAATAATTATCGTTAGAAAAGATAATTATGGTACAAACATGATATAACACTGTTGATGTTTTTGTACCATGCTCATTGAATGTAAATTTACTTCCATTTAGATAATGTTGCAATACCTCTTCGTGTGTTTATCAGCTAGGTTGGCATCTATGATTAAGTTAATTCAAGCTTCACATTATCTCAAATTACAGCACGTAGAGGAAGTTGAAGACCGAATTTGTCTGATAATATATATATTCAAATGTAAGAAAATGTGCCATGGTGCTGTATTAGAAAAGATTGAACTTATTATTACTGACCTTACGATAGAAAGAAGTCCGTCTTTGAACTTCATTCTTTTTACCCCCGCAGACACACTTGGAGGGGATGGGGGTTTGTTAGGGAAATAGACCAACGTCAGTGTAGCAACTGCAGCGGCCAGACCAAACTCTGCATTACGTTACATAGGCATTTTAACATCATCTAAATGTTTGTTTCCTATGGTTGTAAGGAATATAAGCGTCAAAATGATATTGATCCAAATGCGATTACAGCAAAATCATAACGAACCTATCAGATCATCGTAACAACAATGAACGAAGTCCGGAGGGGACATTTCAAGATGGAAGCATGCATAAAACCAAGCATCAATGTACTGGATTTTAATGCACTTATCAGCTTTACCGAATCGTTACATACACTTTTAGTACAAGTTTTGATTGAGTTCAGCGCATAAGCAAAGGCAAGTATCCGATAAAGGAGGGATTACTTTCTCGAAAATTGAAATGTTTGTTTTAAGTATTGAATATGTCTCATGTAACGTAAGGCTTACCTCGGTACGTGTTGAATACTTCGATTAAAATATTTCGGTAGTAATACATTTATTTGTGTTAATTTGTAATCGTGTGCCAGAATGGGACACCTACAGTCTGTTAATATTTTTTTTATTTCCGTTGAAATGAAGTTTCAGCTTTGAACCAATATTTTGATGCTTATTCAGTGCATAATACAGTGCATGTACAAGTAATCTGTCAATGTGACACGTGTGATTAAATAGGAACAAGAAAACTTAGTCCTTTCATCATACCCGCTCCGAAGTTTTAGTAACGGTAAACAACAACAAGCTCGTTTTTACCTTTGGCAGAGATGACAATATGAAATATTTCTGTCATGAGATCTCCAATACCGAAAATTGCTCATAGGCATTAAATGATATCTTGATATGTCCCCGTACGGACCACGTGCACAACAGTAAGTAATCGGTATCCTGATCTATACTCACTTTTACTATCATTGAAGTTGCAAACTTATGTCCTAAACAAGCCATACCTATAGCATTAAATAAGTATGATATATCAACTACATATTCAAACTTGTCTACTTTAATATCTAATTTTGTGAAAATATCACACCACATGAAAAACACCCTAGAATACTTAAAGTATATTGAATGTTTTTGTGACTGTCTCTTCACTAAGGTTTGATCAAAATAAACCGTTGTCATAATTTAATGACATTTATAGTTCCAATGACTGATTCTTATATCATAAAATGTAAATTATTTCATAAAATCATATTTTCCCCACCCCAAAAATCAGCTTATGAAATGTTATTAAGGAATAAAACCCATGTAACTTACCAAGCTCATTCAAAGTGAGTATTTGTCCTCGTATCATTGAAACATCTGTAAAATATACTTAATATGTTTATGATAAATTACTTTAATATATTTCATTGTAAACCTCAGTGACAATACATTGAATATTTGTGAATATAATGATTTATAAATCAGTAAAGAGTATTGAACTGTAAGAAAAACTTTTAAAATTCAAGTAAACCTTGTCATTTGTTTGAAAACAGAATATATAACAACATACCTACACCACTTTTATTACAGGCTGCATCTGTTGCAGAGATGTACCTATTGGGAGAAAAATAAAGATCATGTAAAATTATAAAATTTTGCCTGTTCATTTTTTAGTATTTGCTTACTTTTTGTCTCCTTATATTTCTAGAGATGTGATGCGCATATCACATGTAGTAGGGTAAGAGAATGCTATCTTCAGAATCTTTCAAGGTTCATCTTTTTTTCTTTTCTTTTTTTCCCTTGCATTTTTCAAGTGTGAAGACGTGCTTCCAGTTTCAAAGTGTAATGTCTATGTATATAACGTTGCTATCAATTATCATTAAAATTTAACCTCACAAGAAGAACATACCCATTGTCAGAATATAATCTCTATATACTTCTTAGCAGTCAGAATAACATTTATCATTTATTAACTAAGATTCCTAGCGTTCATCCCTCCTCCCCCACCCCACCCTCTCAAACCCTCTGTTGTGGTCGACCTTTCGTTCAGCTAATATACATACATACCAAGTAGAATTGCCATCCGTATTATTTCCGCTGCAACTCGGTGGTTCGGAGACAAACTGTGGACCTGTGATTAGTTGTAAACAAGAAGGTAAATAAATAAAGCCTTTATAGATTTCGCTATGTTCTGTGATGAGTCACAGTAAAAACTTTGGTATAAAAGTCGTCAATTCAAGGCCTACATATCAACATTGATCACATAATCACCTGCTATCCAGTGTTTTGGCTGTGTAATATTTCTACGTCACAGGTGTAATATACTTAGAGCATTTTTGCCTGAGAGTTTGATTTTGTCATCAACATTATGATTTCAAATACTGACAAAACATGACCATTCTATTTTTTTTTTTAATCTTAAATTTGTCACCAAGTTTGAAGTAAAACCTCTAAGACTTACTCATTTATGATCATAAATGCACATCTGATAATGCTGATATATATTCAGTTCTATTATTCAGTTATACAAAAAACTACGCGATTCAACATCATTTACAGATCGGGTAAATTTCATTTTGGGAGAAAATGTTTTTATTTCTAACGATAATTTTGGAATAAAATTAGTACCATTTAACAAATACTTCTCTCATTTTTAGGGATAGTTATTAACTGTCCTAAATTAATTATTTAATGTTGAATTAATCACACTTTTAAATAGCTGGTGTTACATTTTGCACGTGATGTATGTCAAGGGCGATAACTCGAGTTCAACTACATACAAATCTGTGTATTTTACTTCTAATCAGAAGTTCGCGTTTTTTAAATAGGTAAAGATTATCAGTAACAAAGACAGGGTTATTTATGAGTTAAAACTATAAGAATTATCAAAGAATAAGGAAAATAAATAACCAAATAAATAAACAATGTAAAACACATCAAAACAAAAATTAAACGTTATTCTTACAATAAATGAAAAACACACAATTAGAAATAAACACAAAGCTGAAAAAAGTATAGATTCCTGTTAAAAGACTTCTACTTGGTTAAAAGAAAACAATGATACCATTGTCCAAAGAATATCAAGAATAAAATGTAACTGATATTTTATCTGGTGATATCGGGTTAGTTACTAAATGCTGTCAACAGCGGTATGGTAGATATTAGTAATCAACACGCTGTATCGGATTTTATTCGCAAGAGAGGCAAACTCAAGCTAAAAATAAAAATGGTGATTCCCAAAGTACCACAGAATATATGTAATATGATAAAGAAAACGGGTTTACGTATGTACAAACCTAATAAAAAAGCCAGAGCACTTCCGATGGAAGAGAACAATATACCCACACCAGTAGCAGTCGTCCGTTCTTGTGGAGGGAACCAAGTTCCGGATAGTAGAGGAGGCGCTGACATGGCGATAGTACCTCCAACACCATTCAATATTTGTCCGAGAAATATTAGCCTGTGAAATGATACATCTGTATAAACCTGAATGTCATCGAAGCAAGCAAATTTGTCGCAAATATTTATATCAATATTTAAAATTAAGGAGTAGATTTGCTTTGCTTCAAATTTAGGTAGACGTCATGAGAAATGATACGTCAACTTTTTAAAGATAAGCATCTAAGCGATGATTATAAGTTGTATTTTAAGACTCCTACCAGGTACCGGGTGTAGGTTTGGTAGTGATACAGCGAAGCCCTGACCCCACGGCAATAACCATACTCCCCAATACCACAGATAACCGCAGACCTACAGAAAAAGGTAACTGTTATTGTCGTTAAACTACACCCTCTCTCACCTAAAAATAGATTAATGTAATAACATGTAGGCAAGAAGGTTTGGCTAGTAGGCAGGAGGGTGGTTTCACTAGTGAAGTAAAAATATTGAGAGTAGAGATGCTAATTATGTAATAATACTAAATTACCTACTGTGGATTTAAATACCTTATTTAGCCAAACGCCGATCTCCCTCGGGGTCCTCTTGGTTAGATAAGTAAGTAACGTATATATTAACATGCATATATTTCAAGGATTGATAACACTTATGTGGGTAAAGATAAATGATATATAAACTGTACTTTAACATAAGAAAACTGATGAAATGATATCATATATAAAAATACTTAACTATACTTAACTAGAAATTAAGTTAATAACAGAAAACACACATATCGTACTTATAGTAGCTAAGCGACCGAAGCCACGTATACATACATGCTAATATAGTAAATATATATACATATAAAGTCAGGATACCTGGTTATGTAGATAATAAAATAAAATGAAGTTAGTACACACGCTTCTATTACAAAAACGTATAGTCAGAATACATGTTAATATTCATTAAAGTGGGTTTGTATTCTAAGATCGACAGGTTCTTATGTAAATGTATATGTAGAATTTTTTTTTCGAGGAAGTTACGATATATTATTTGTTTACATTTTCAGATTTTTTGGCGGAATGTTTTCATCTAAGCTATCCACAACAGTGGAAACATGTCCATTATTTTATAGGGAATCGTTTAACAATGTTTTCAATCATGAAACACCATGATTAAACAATAGCAACAATAGACGTTTTAACCACGGATACCATATTTCGATTTCACTGAAGAGTCCTAAAAGGAAACTGAATAAAGTAGTTTAATCAATTGGCTGACTATGATTTATCTAATTCTAAATTTACTTTGTGTCGCTTTGAGGGATACTATTTACCCGAGTTCCATGTTCAGTTCAATTCACTTGTGCAATCCTTTGTATAAAACACTTATGATTCTAATTCAAAACGGAAGCTTCCTGAGCTTTTGAAATTTGGTCACGTTTAAAAAAATCCAAAAACAAAACGCTATATGACATACAATTAAATTTCTCAAAAGCTCACAAATGGAATGTTAAATATAAACCACTGTTTTCTGATCCTCACAACATCCAGCTACGATCATATCCGAGTTTCCGTTTTATTGAAGTTGAAAATCCATGCTGAAATGTTTTATACCGAATGGGGTAATAATTTTTTGCATTCAAAGGTCATGAAAGCCGGAAGTATGAAAACATTGCAACCGATATTCCCAGCATTGACAAAAGACCTGTATTTGACACCGAAATTAATATACACGATACGGGAACAATACGCATTCCTGGTGAAAAATATAGCCCTTGCAAAATTGATAAGCATGGAGACTGACTATTTTGCAATTACATGATGAAATAAATGACATAGATTTTTCAATGATTTCACTTATGTTGTACAAAAACAATTCAAATATTTATATTGTATATACTATCAATATATAGTAAAATCGCAGACAGTTTCTGAAAATAAAGTGATATTTATCAACAATTCACTGTTACACACTGTACACAAGCTTTGTTCCCTAGGAACAAGGATATCAATAGTTCTATCACTGCCACGGGATTGGTCGCCAGATATAAAACAAACCAACGAGTTCGATAAGTCCATCATCCTGCAGCAATGCTGTTGTAGAGTCAGTTTTATCCATTCTGATCTTCCTGAGTTACTGCCCTTCATTTCATCCTGTCAGATGGTATAGTCATAATCTAGACAGCCTATGGGGCCGATAATGACTTGATCAGGACCACGATCATGATACATAATTTGTGTGAATATGTTTTATACCGAAATGTGCTCCATATAGAACATATGTTATATATTAAACAAAATGTTTGATTACTTCAAGGTACTTATGTTTTCAAACAAATCTCTACATAGATATAATTATTACAAATTTGTATACCATATCTATACAGGGTCATCTCAATCCCCTTATACTTATTAACCAGACAGATAAACCAATAAACATGCTTACAGTGAAGTGCTTGCTTCAGTAATATCAAGATTTGGAAATTCAAAATACAATATCAAAGTCTTTTTTTTTGTTGAATATAGATGAAACTTTAGATTTTTCGTAAGAGTTTGATCAGAGGTGCCTCATGTCTTTGTTCATGATGGTTGTAGGTATCGTTCTAATATCACTCAATCTTTTGCATGATATATATGATAAACTGGCAGTCCAGAATATGGTATAAAATTCGATAATGTGTAAATATGTGTGTGAATAATGTGATAAACGGACCCTCTAGAATAAGGTATAAAATTCAATGATGTTGATAGTGTGCATGATACCAAATGCATGCTAAGTGAAGAAATACCAATGGTACCTACAGCAGGTATGTATATATAGGTCTATATATGTAAACTGGTATTATATACAGTACATAAATAGGTATGTAGAAAGGTTAAGATAAGTATGTGGGTTTATGTATGTATGTTTATACAGTTTATATATGCAGATAAGTGGTATATAAAGTATATAGGTATGTAGGTAGGTTTTGGCTGGTAGGTATATATAGGAAAATTCAGAAACTTATTTTCGACATCGGAAAGAAATCATTTCCCAGTCTCTTCACATGTTTACTACTGATATTCGGGTGACCCTCAATAACAATAGCTGTTATCCTCTATTGACCAACCTTTCAAGCGCTACATCGGAGAAGTTGAATTATGTTTGAATCTACATTGTAAACACATCTAGTACATTTTATATACGGGAAACAAGGTAGAAAAAAATGAAATGTGCCTTTGTTACCTTTGACATCCAAAAGCCACGAAGCCGGAAGTATAAAGACAATACATGCGATGTTTCCAGCATTGACAAGCATGTCAATGGTACTGTCATTCCAGCCATAAACAGCCTTCGCTGATTGGGCGATGGGACCCCAGCCCGCCCATACACAGTTCTGGATGCAACTCATCATGGACACCAGAAACAGAACATACCAACGAGTTCGATAAGTCCTATTCTTTGAAGTGTCATCCTGCACAAGTGCTGTTGTAGACTCACTTTTTTCATGATCCATTGTTATGATAATTCAACAACATCAAGGTATGCGTAATTTATATACATGTATATTTTTGTACCGAAAAAGGTTGTCAGTTAACATTATTTGGTACAACGAACCAAACTATTGTTTACATCCTAAAATTATTTCATCTGATATGTGACCATAAGCTATGCGGTGACCTACTTTACTAGACTTGATAGATAATGTGATATCGATTTCGAGGCACCATGGGGTTAAAAACCCATCACATATAGGTGCATTTATGATATAGGACCTTGTTGTATATGTAAGCAATCCCCCTGTGTGGCTTCCCCGAGGCCGTTGGTGCATTGCACACTTGTATATGTAAAATGAATATATTCCCTGTGTGATGTTTCATCAGGACCCTTGGTGCGTTGCACACTTGTATATGTAAATTTCATATATTCCCTGTGTGCTATTTGCTCGTTTTATCATGTGCAGATAGATTGAAATAAGTTTAGTATTACTAATATCAGATAATATCATGTAAGTTTATTTTATATCATTCACTCCGTTGTTATTGGTTAAAACTTATGGCATATAACAGTGGTATAAAACCACTATAACTATGATGACACATTGTGAATTGTCCTTCTCACATCATACCTCCTTTCAGCTCTTTGTCCAATACGATATGATATATCCGTTAATCAGTTCTTATTTGGATGATTTATTACCTTTTTTAGAGTAATAACAGATAAAATTTTATATTGGAAAAATATAATTTTACGGTTCAGACAATTATACTGAGGAGGGTTTCTAATGCAACAGATAATTTTTACCTGAATCTAACACGATATTGTCCATTGTTTACATCCCTCCTCTATACCAATATTTTGCAATTTTTTTTTCATTTTTACATCAAGGTAAGTATCGAAATAAGGAAATGATAAATTTACTATACAAACACACACGTTTTCCCATACATTTAGGCGATATTTATATAAAATAAGGACCTTTGTTATCATGTGTTATTTGAGCATTAAAATTGAAGGTAATTGACACAAAAATCCTAGGAGGTTCACCTGAAATGTACGTTACTATAATATCTATATATAACACTAGTTTTCTCCTCTTCAGCTAGCTGCACCGAGTCGATGGAGTTTACTCAGGGAATAAAGTTATCTGTTATACTGAGATAATATCGGGTATTAGTTATTTTGTCCTCTGTCGGGGATATCACCGAACACACGTGCAGCGACTTTCATGATAACACTAGATGCTGAAATGATATCAATCTCACAAGACAATATGTTGTATCACACTGGATTTGCTGGAAACTTAACCAGCAAACAAAACTGATGTCTTACCCAAGTAAGAATATGTTTTAGATGTCATCAAGTACGTTATAGTATATGAAATATCGTTTAATATTTACCATTCAAATTCTTAGAAAACAACATTTCGTTAGAGCTAAAAACATATTTTCAGTTAATGTTTTTACATAAGATATCTCTGATTTCGTTTGAAATTTCGTTTTTTTTCTGTTAGTTTTAATTAGTTAGAACCAAATATAATAGAATCTTTTTGATTTGTAATTTTTGTGTATTTATCTAACCAGCTATTGAAAGATCACATTCTGTTTGAATAATAAGGTAAATGTTCATCATCTTTTGAATCGTATCTAGTCTTTGTTTCAGTGTTTCCGTGGTCGTTGTTTTAATGATACTTTGACCAGTAAAGAGCAAATGACGTAACAGTTTTTTTCTAATTTCCTAATGTTCATTTTCTAACTTTTTACAATGTGTTGATTACAGAGAGCTTCCATTGGTTGTACTATTATGTATCTCAAAACCAAAGAAAACATTCTTACAGGTTTTCACAACTTTTCTTTTTATTTCACAGAAATAAATATTCAGTAAAATCAACTTATTTGACAATAACTTAATATTTTGTGTAACACATCATAATACCCTGCCATACATCATACACTCAAGTTTACTAGTTCACAATGAAACATATGGATTCAATCTGCATACAACTACACATCAACACATTAAATTGCACAATGGGCAACAGTATAACACCCTTCTATTTATATTGAAAATGTTCACTCCAATCAGACAAACAGACAGACAACCCGACGGACGGACGGACAGACAACAGACAACCTTATCTTGAGAAAGAAGAAAGGGTCTGACGTCGATAGTTTACTATCACCCACACACATACCACGACTAAGCCACTTCACATGTAATAAAAAATCGGAAGTTTTCGATCCGGTTCGGAAGGAAACCTCTTAACTATTCCGGATAATGGACACAAGTGATACCCTTATCATGGATACCAACATTTTATTATCGGGAAAACGTCTCCAATAAGTTATGTACCAAATGCATTTTAAAGTAAAACATAAATTATACTGTTTTAAGGTAAATGGGCAAACATAAAAAGGTAAAATAGCAATCTCGTCTATCGTCCATCAAACAAAGTCAATTTATACATATTTACGACCTGCAAGGTTAGTTATGTATGTTGTCACTGTTGATAAATTAATATTATTGTTCATCCATGTCGGTGACGTCGCCGTGCTGCGCATGTGCAGCCGACACTTATCTGTTCTTGCTGTTCGATATATTCATGAAATCCGTTGATACATCGCCCAGACCTCATTAACACTGTAATCATTATTGTTATGGACTCACAATTGTGGTTATGGGACCTTCCGTTACAATTATGACGGCGGCAACAGCGTGCATTATGAAGATCAATTGGATATCTATTCATATCACACGTCACTTCCGTTACCCAAGGGCACGTTGACCTGTCACGTAGATGGTTACTATGGCGATGCATGTCCCTGTTATTGCATCGTTGCGTGATGTCTCGTTCGGATTGCACTACATCCGAGCAACTGTCTTCATTAAAGTCCGACATGAACTGTGTGATGTTGATGGTAGGGTTATTGGACGCCAGACGCTGAAGTAAATTGGATGGATCTCTGCACGGGACCAGCATTGTACGAGTGAGACATACACATGTAAACATCGCCAAAATTGTCTGAAAATAAATGATTAAAACATTAGCCTTCAGTTTTGAACACATGAAACGAAATTAATGTAAAATGAGAATGATGCAATGATAAAATCATTGAAAGCGTTCGTATTTAAGTTTGAAACAAAACACTGGAATATTAATTTTATCAAATATGTATCTGCGACTTAAAAATAAAACAAATATCTTTTTTAGTTTTCACAAAATGCATGGTTTACCTGCCAGAAACGGAGTTGTAGCTCTTCATACCGCATTTTTCTCGGACGTATTTCAGTAAAACTACAGGTGCTGGGATACTATTTATTATGATCTGAATTAACTTCCATTATGGAAGTCTTTATATACCCGTGTACGTTTGATAAGGGATGTAAAGTGGAATTCCAGTTTAAATCCAAATAGAAAGAGTTGTGTTTGAAATTATTTCGTTTGATAAGTGTACATGAACCGGGCCTACACGCGATGTCTACCGCGTGGTATATTTCCATTGATAAATAAAGGTCGAGTGGTCAAGCTTGAAACCAGTCCACCTTTACTAGTTGAAGGTTAATGCTGAAATATGGCCAGATATTAAAAATAAATTTCTAAAAATCAGTAGCAACTTGATATAAATAAACATAAATTTCAATAAACAAACAAAACAGATGTAGAAAGTTAAAGCAAAACATACTTGATAACCTTAAGTTCTAAATTTAGAACAGAGGTTAAATATATACGCTATCCGATACAGATACCTTTGAAATATTTACTCGAATAAGTTATAGAGAGAGCTTATAGATAAGCTGACTTGTCGGTACAATATATTTACACAGAAGATTTCCGGATTAGTATTATTAGGCAACGCCTCCCGAATTCTTTTATGATATTCATGATTTCATCTGTCTTATTTCACAAAATGTCGTAATGATTCTGACAAATTGTGTAAATGCATATTGACTAAGGTTTACTATTATTTATCAGAACCAAGATGAATTTGTTGAAGATTGGTTAACTTTCATGTGAAGACGTTGACTATTACAATTGTGTTATACATATTTTATGTGTTAATGCGTATTATGTTTTATAATCCACATAATCTGCCTGTTATCCAGTGAATTCATCCTCGTGATATGTCAATAGTGTTATATACCCCGGCACGTTTTATAAAAATAATTTGAACAATGACGTTACGTCATAATTGAAAACGGGTCTCTCTCTCTCTCTCTCTCTCTCTCTCTCTCTCTCTCTCTCTCTCTCTCTCTCTCTCTCTCGCTCTCTCTCTCTCTCTCTCTCTCTCTCTCTCTCTCTCTCTCTCTCTCTCTCTCTCTCTCTCTCTCTCTCTCTCTCTCTCTCTCTCTCTCTCTCTCTCTCTCTCTCTCTCTCTCTCTCTCTCTCTCTCTCTCTCTCTCTCTCTCTCTCTCTCTCTCTCTCTCTCTCTCTCTCTCTCTCTCTCTCTCTCTCTCTCTCTCTCTCTCTCTCTCTCTCTCTCTCTCTCTCTCTCTCTCTCTCTCTCTCTCTCTCTCTCTCTCTCTCTCTCTCTCTCTCTCTCTCTCTCTCTCTCTCTCTCTCTCTCTCTCTCTCTCTCTCTCTCTCTCTCTCTCTCTCTCTCTCTCTCTCTCTCTCTCTCTCTCTCTCTCTCTCTCTCTCTCTCTCTCTCTCTCTCTCTCTCTCTCTCTCTCTCTCTCTCTCTCTCTCTCTCTCTCTCTCTCTCTCTCTCTCTCTCTCTCTCTCTCTCTCTCTCTCTCTCTCTCTCTCTCTCTCTCTCTCTCTCTCTCTCTCTCTCTCTCTCTCTCTCTCTCTCTCTCTCTCTCTCTCTCTCTCTCTCTCTCTCTCTCTCTCTCTCTCTCTCTCTCTCTCTCTCTCTCTCTCTCTCTCTCTCTCTCTCTCTCTCTCTCTCTCTCCATATTTTGACATTTAAACATTCTATTGAATTGTATATTGTTTGCTCGCCAAAGCTCACAAAATAGGAGGCAAATTGTTCATTTAAAAAAATCTCATATGAAATGAAAGTCCAGAAATTACAG